TTTGATCCTACCTATAATGTCATTGACATTTGTTTTGATGAAAGAACAATCTCGCGATTCAAGGAAAAGCATGCAACATTTTTCTCCGTCCAGGTTTGTGAACATTATTAATCGAATGTAAATATCACTTAGTGAAAATTTTGTTTTGTTACTAATATGACATAATTTTAAGATGCAAATAAAATGCTAAATGGGTAAATTATTATTAATAGACTGATGTGACTTTGGGACTTTCAACTGGAGAAAAATCATCACAGCATACTTTCTCCATGGGCGAGGCATCATCATGTGTCAAGGTTAGGACTCTAAAAAAATGCACAAGTAATTTAACTTTTGCTCAATTTTTTAATTTTTTGGCATGGCATATGTGAGTTGATAGGAAAAAGTTTATACCATCACCATTGATTTGCTCGGTTTAGCAAAAGTCACACAGAAATAAATGCTTTGTAGTGAATAGAAATGTTCCAACCTAAAACCAAATTCTGCACGATTTCCGAAAGCAATAATACATCATCATTGGAGGTCACATTTTAGTTCAATGCATTTCTGATTTGTTATGTATCTTGCATTAAATTCTTGGTTCTTTGTCTTACAGAATTTGATTGAAGATTGTGTGCAATCAAAGGATAATCAGTTTGAACGACTAGAAGATGATATCACCGACTCTAATATTGGCAAAAGAATCGAAGAGGTTGAATCTGAATATGCAGACGGTCATGAACCGAGCAAGAAGATGAAGACCATTAAGATTGAAAAAATTTAAGACTAGAAGTATTAAGTTAGATGGAGTACTATTTAGTTTTTGGGATTTGATTTACGTGTTAGACATTTTATAATTTATCATTTTTGATGACTTTGGTGTTTGAAATTAAAAATTAGAAATTTTCATTCATTTTGTTTTTTTAAATAAGATTGCATGTTTGAATAATTTATACTCAGTTCAATGTCATTACACTCATATTTTATACTTTGACCTGTTATATAGTTCATAATATTCATTAATGTTACACTCATATTCTATACTTTGATGGAGTATATTACTATATTGAATAAATCATTCAATATAAGTACATCTTAAAGAAATTACTAATGGAGGTACTAATATTGATTGTTTTGTTTCAACGAGCTAAAAAAATGTGTTTAATAATTACAATTAGGAGCAAAATTTTAAACATGTAAAGACCTAAAAACTTCCATATGTACTTGGTAGTTTTTTAAGAAACAAACAGTATTTGTTTAAAAACCTTGGCTTTTTTACTTATCCTTTTTTTTTCTAAATTCAAAAATAATACACTAAATAAAATTGACGCATAAGATCCCACACTAAGTAATTACTAAATACTAATTTTTTCATATGTGACATGTAAACAATTAATGAATGATATTTTTCAGAAAAATAAGAAAACATATAACATTTATAAAATTTGATGTAATAAACCCAATAAAGCCATTTATGTACCAATTATGTCCTAAAAAGACAAATGTGATTTAGGAAAAACTCATGAACGGAGAGAGTATAATTTGAATTTCATAAGAATTCAAACTTTTACTCTCTCTTTCCAGGAATATTTCACTAATTTTGGGTTTTATCCAATTTTGACTTTTTTCAGTCAACCATCTTCAACCTTTGCCAATAATTACATGAAAATATAATGTATATTAATGAGATAAATATTATTTTAAAAATATTTGATATACTATATCTAATAAAACATTTACGTAACAATATCAGACATCATTTTTTAATGGTATTTCAAAATTTACCAATTATGTCTGAAAAAAATCAAATATTATTTAGGAAACACTCATGAACGGAAGGAGTATGATATAAATTTCATAAGAACTCAAATTTTTAGTCTCTCCGTCTAAATATTTCTCTAATTTTGACTTTTAACCAGTTTTGACTCTTTTCGGTCGGTTGTTTTCAACGTTCCACCTATACTTAAATAAAATATATACTGTATATTAATAAAATAAATAATATTTTGAAAATATTAAATGTAATAAATCCAATAACACAATTATTGTAACAATATCTACTATATATTTTTTAATTTGAGGTAAAGATTACCAATTACGATTGATAAAAGTCAAAATTGCAATTAGAAAACTCATGAAGGGAGGAAGTATAATATATATATTTAAAAAAAGATGGTAGTACATATTGATACAAAAGTATTTCCATTACATTAATTATATAAAGTAATACTCGGTAACAAAATTTGGCTATTTTGACACCTTAGGATTCCTCTGCGCACGTCCCTTCATTTGACGCACTGCGAATAGGTTTTTCTCTTCTTCGCCATATCCTTCTTCTCCAGGGATCCTTCGACGAATCAATCAATTTCTTGGGTCTATTCTTCTACAACGACTAATTTGCAAAGGGAAAGTCTCCAATTGTTCAAGATTGAGAGAATCCCTAATTCGGCTCGGAGTTGTTAGACGATTCAAGAATAAGGTTTCAAGAATAAGGTTAGTTTCCAAAATTCATGTAAATTAATTATTAAATTCGTAAATTCACTGATCGTAGATACTAGGCAGAATGTTCGATCACTACAGTCTATGATCTTCACCATAAAAAAATTGTTAAGATTCATATTCTTGGACTTCTAGGTTTTTTCCCCTCTTGGTTTTAATTAACAATCCTGCTCTACTTCTTTGAATGTAGTCAGCAAGGACGGAATTTTGCCGACACTAACAATAACACCCGTTTGTTTTTTACACTGCTTGGATTTCAATTTATTTTACTTCTTAATGAAAACATACTATCTAGGACTACTTTGAACTTTCTTGCACTCAAAAATACATGATTAGGATCTCCGGTTTGATTCAAATGATACATTACGAAAGTTGTACAAGAGAGGCATTAACCTAAGATTATGTCCCTGTATTCATTTAATATTTTTTTTATTTGTAATTTAATCTGCCAATTCATAATAAATTAGTGAATGTTAGTTTGAATTGGGTAGTACATTCCATTTTGTGAAGGTGTTCAACGCTTGATTCATAAGAGGTGTTTGATGGTAGATTGTAATCTTTTGAAAATAATCATCTTTGGTAAAATACGTTTTATGTCAGTGGATTGTAATCATATTTTAACCTACGTTTTATTCTACAAATGGATAAAGAATGTTGAAATTGAAAATACTGCTTTCACAAATTCTTTAGTAGCAGAAGAACAGGAAACTTATACAAAAGAATATTGCATAGCTTATAAACAATAAAATTATATACCTCAAACACCGTCCTTGGTAGTTATAATTCTTCCTCTTATTAACTAATAATCCTTTGATATATCCTAGATGATTTCTTAGTCTTCGGTAATCTCGATATATGGGATCAACTTATAAAAAATAAAACTGTATTGCTGATTATACTTGCATGTAATAATTCCGACTCTTTTTCTAATCAAAACTTCATTTGTAGTCATGCAAGGACGTCAAGATGAGAACTGTGTTTTGGCAAAAGATGCAAGAGCACGACGGAAAGATATACGTCAACGCCAAATAGAACATAAAGGTGTTTTTATGCATAAGATATTATAGATATTATAGGATTTTAAAGACCTATAGTGTTTAATTTATGTTTACTAAAATTTTTAAAACATCAACTTACAATTATTTTGAATTTTAATTGCAGGTGAAGTGGCATCGTCGTCACACATAACAATGTCACAATCTACGCCGACGACAAAACGAAACCCCTTATTGGATTTGACAAATGGTATTAATAAAGGTTTATGATTAAATGAAAACATTTTTCAGTTTTGATACAAAAGAAATACGACTAGAATGTAAAATATCATGTACTTATCAAGTCATATCTTATAAATTTGAAATTCAGTGTTAGCATCACATCAAGTAGATTCATCGGTTCGAAGTTGTTCAAGTACCAAAAACTTCAATGATGTAACATCGTCGACGCAACTTCAAGCCCATAAGAGACACAAAAACATTGATCTGTCCTCTATTTCACGTGCCATTAATTTCAACGAAGGTAATATTCATCTTCTAAAATATATTTTATTATTTCATTATAGATATTATGGGCAATATTCATCTTCTAAAATAGATATATTAGATTAATCAATTTGGTTTCCCATCGCTTGAGAAGCAAAATAAAAAGACATCTGCAAATAAAATGTATAAGAAAACAATTACCGTGAGTATAATACTGAAAAAATGTCTTTTGTTTTTATGCGTTATCTTGAAGTAACCCATTATATCCGATTGTTTAAATTTTTAAATATTTGTCATGATTTTAGATAATTTCTAAATTTAATACCTCGACATATTGAAATGAATTTGATTGTGTACAAATTTGGATAGCAGTCACGCAAGGCCAAAGAAAAGATAAATGGGTTTTGGCAAAAGAAGCAAGATCACGTCGAAAAGATATACTTCAACAAAGAAGAATGCAAAAAGGTTTATTTACCATAGCTTTTTTAATCTTTAATGGATCTTTTAAACATATATATCAAACAAAATTATGTGTATAATTATTCTTTTTTGGGTTTTAGCTTATGTAATTTCTATTGCAGGAGTTGAGAGATTGTCTTCAATGTCAGAATCTAGAGCAGCATCACAAATTAATCCGTTGGGGGATGTGACAAATGGTATCTATATATTTTTTTCGCATCATATATATGACTATGCAAGGCATATATTGAATCATATAAATAACATGAATAATATAACACTTTGTTATAATATCTTATTGTTTAATTTTTTAAAACACAGTGTTAGCAACGCACAAAGTGCAATCCTCAATTAGTATTTTAAGGACAACAGAGAGCAATGAAGCAACAACTTCGACAGGATTACAAATGCATAAAAGACAGAGAATTAGTGATCTCTCTTCTATATCGCGTTTCATTGATTTCACTGAAGGTAAAAATAATACAATCGTCATTACCATTGTGTTAAAATATATTGATCATTGCTATAAATATATTTCAGTGATCTATATGCATGCAATACTACTGCAGTATTTTTTTTGGATTTAGATGTTGGTGAACAATATACTTTTAATCAAACCAATGCTGGAGAATCGCTAAAATCTAATACTGCAACTACATATTCGGAAGTTACAGGTGTGTACAAACAAAATGTATCGTAATTAAATTACGCGTGCTTATAACATATTTTAATTTTATCCATGTTAATTTTCTTTTTTATCTTTATAATGGCAACTGTGAGACATTTTTTAACTGATTGCAGGCACGCAGCGTGAAATAAACAAGAAATGGGAATTGGCAAAAGATGCGAGAGCACAAAGAAAAGATATATGCTACCGTAGAAGACAAAATCACGGTTATTTTACGCCTGGAAATTTATATTTATCAATATTTAAAATATGTATATCAATTTAAAGTTACAAAGAAAATATTTCATTGAGAATTGTTTGTTTATGTAAACAATATTTACAGATAGTGAAGGATCATCATCGTGTGTAACAATTTCACCATCTAGATCAAGAAAAAAAATAAATCCAATACTAGATACGACAAACGGTATCTACATTTAACCATTTAGTTTATGACATCTGTATTGTCTATTAATTAAAATTATTTTACATATTTTAAATATTTTAAAACTTATACAACGCAGTGTTAACATCACGCCGAATACGATCAATGCTTCAAAATAGTTCAACGACACTTGAGTACAATTCTGCAACAACTTCAATAAACCTTGAGTCGCGTGTTAGACAAAGAAACAATGATTTGCATAATATTACACGTTGCAGAAATCTCAGTGAAGGTAATACTAGAACATGTGTCCATATATTTGCATTTTTAAGTAGCAATATTTATTCAAATATGTTATTTTTCTTCGAATATGATATATATGTTATATGTTCCAATGACCTATTTCTTTATAAAATTAGTAGAGAATTCTTCAAGCGAGCAGACAAATTCGGAAGAGTTGAATATTGATAATCCTATATTTGCAATATCAGAAGTAAAAGGTACTTATAGATTTTATTTAAATTACTTGCTTTAGGTGAATTTAAATATGCGAAAATACTTTGTTGTATCCTCTAATAAAGCATTCTAATTGTATAGAAACAATTGATTTTGGTGATCCATCGTTCAAGTGTGCATTTTGTGGAGCTTTGTTATGGTATGATGAAAGGGCCGAAAAATCTAGAGTCTCTACACACCCAGAGTTCTCTATTTGTTGTATGAAAGGAAAAGTACAACTCCCTCTTCTACAAAGACCACCAGATTTGCTCTTTAATTTGTTTANAGGCTTGGATGAAGGCCAATACAACGTATAGACAAGGACGTACACTGACTTATGCTGAATTTCCAGGACACTTTGTGTATGACACGCAAGAGCAACGATGGTTACCGAGACAACAAAGACCATCCATAGGCCGGCTGCATTATGTTCCACCAGGTACTGGTGAGTTGTACTACTTGCGACTGCTCTTGACTGTGCAACGAGGATGCACCAGTTACCAAAGTTTGAGGACATTAAACAATATTGTACATAACTCATTTGAGTCTGCGTGTGAGGCGTTAGGATTATTAATCGATGATAAAGAATTCATCGAAGGTATAAGAGAGGCCGCCATCTTAGGATCGGGAAATCAATTAAGAAAGTTGTTCGTCACGTTGTTAGTGACAAATGCCATGAGTCGTCCGTATGTTGTTTGGCAAGAAACGTGGGAATTATTGGCTGATGGGATTTTATTTGATAGACGAAGATTGTTACGCAATCCAGGTAATGTATTTTTTTTCTTATTTTATTATTTTTTCCATTTCCGGTTGTTGTGTACACAAAATTGATATTATATTTTTAATTTTTTTTACGTATTTACAATGATTTCAACTTAATCACATGCGTTGGATTGAATCTTATAAAATTACTTTGTTAGTTATTGTTGTTAATAATGGAGCATTCACATATTTTACTAAAAAAAATCTATGTACATAGAACGTATTTATTTAATGAACTATATTTGTGTGTTTTTTGTTTGGTTAAAAATATGGATTTTTATTTAATATATTCATCACTTAACTTAACGCGTCATGTGTTTTGCAGATCTTGACATTTCGCCAAATGATCTACAAAATTTATGCTTGATTGAGATTGAAAAGTTGCTGAATTCAAATGGACGCTCTTTGAAAGAGTTTGGTGGCATGCCATTTCCAGTTGACGACCCGCTGAATGTGTTTCAAAATAATTTCTTGGTCGAAGAGCTGAACTATGACAAAGAAAAGTTGTCCACTGATCTCAAAGAATATTTATCCACGATGAATGACGATCAGAGAAAAATATATGATGAGATAATGGAAGCGGTGGCAGCTGCGAGAGGAGGTTTTTATTTTGTGTATGGTTATGGGGGAACTGGAAAAACATTTCTTTGGAAATCATTATCTGCTGCGCTTAGATCGA